CCCCCCCCCCCCCGAACCCATTGTTTTCTTAATCTTGTACATCTTTTTTATTTATGTGACATCCAAACATCTCCAACACGCCTAAACTACGTGGAGTTACAGAGTCTGCCTTGTAAGCCAAAATGTGTATAAAATTACAAAAAAAATGAGTTCAGGAAGGTGATAGGACCTTAGTTTAGTTAAGACATGTCTCTGAAATTTCGGTCATAGTCTAGAGTGATACTTATGCCGTATCCCTAAATTTTAATTATTCATATATGAGTATCATTTCCATTGAAGATGTGGTCACTGAAATGTGCATATTTCTTGTTAGACATTTATAGAGTGAGATTTTCTGAATATTTACTTCCATCGAATAAAGCGCAAAAGAAGAGAACACACGAATGACTTTAAGGTGTTGATACAATTGATTTTCTTATCGTGTTTTTCCTATTTTATCCTTTGTAAACTATTGAAAAAGTTACTTTTATGAATTTATTATGAATTAATTAAGGAGATCATGGTGAAAATTATTTTTAAAAAGGGGAACTTTCGCATATAGCCACTCAAAAATAGCTTAATTACGATTCATAATTATAGTTTGCTAATTACGATTCATAGCTACATGTTATAGGGAGGAGAGTTGCGAGCGAGAGTGGGAGAGGGAGGAGAAAGGCGAGCGAGAGAAGGCAGAGAGTAAAGAGAGGCGATTTGTATATGTATATTTATCGAATTGTATATGTATATCTGTCAAATAATTGTATATATGTAACTAATATACATATGTATTTGTATATCTGGCGAGCGAGATTGGGAGAAGGAGGAGAGAGGCGAGCGACATTGGGAGAGGGAGGAGAGAGGCAAGCGAGAGATCAGGGCAGAGAGTGGAGAGAGGCGAACTATATATGTATATCTGTCAAATAATTATATATATATATATTTTATTTATTTTTTATTTTTATTTTTATTTTTAAAAAAAATAAAAACCGCATATTTGAGTCCTAAAAGATATATCCTCCAAATATCCATTCTAGAATCTAATTCACAAAAAGAAAAAATGAAAAAAGAGAGAGATTTCATTCCATAATTTTTCTTAACTTGGATCACTTGAGAAAGTGAGGACTAATCAATCCAGCGATCTCAAGGAATCCAACCCGATCTCTACCTCCGAAAATCTTCTTCAACTTGTCATCACAGATTATGACCTTCTTGTCCTCCGGATCCTGAAGGTTGTGTTGTTTGATGTGAGCCCAAATGAACTTGAGTGCTTGAGTCCGAGGAATCTCCGGAAGTCCGCCGAGGAAGGCCTGCATTTCCGGCGAAACTCGACCTGGCTTCATTATGCCTCTTGGTTCTCTCTTCTTTGGCTCCGTTGTAGCTGGCTTCGCAGAGCCCGCGAATGTCGCCACCCGTAGATTACCGGCAAGCCTAACAGAAGAAGAAGAAGAAGACGACGACTTCAAAAATAAGGCCGTTTGTACAGTCGATAAAGCTGAGAAAAGTCCTAAAGACACCGCCATTTTTTTCTTGTTTACTGAAACTGTGGCTTTTGGGGGTTTGCAGAGAGGAGTGTATATATACATATAACTGATACACATATGTATTTGTACATATGGCGGAGAGAGATTGGGAGAGGGGGGAGAGAGGCGAGCGAGATTGGGAGAGAGGAGAGAGGTGAGAGAGAAAGGTCAGAGAGTGGAGAGAGGCTAATTGTATTTCTATATATGTCATATAATTGTATATATATATATGTGTGTATAATTTGTGTTTGTATATGTATAAAAGAGGTCAAGTGACGTAATTAAAGCTAAAGTCAAGCTGTGAGCCGTAATTAATTCAAACTATAGCTATATTAGCTAATTAACTAATATGTATTTGCTTTTCAGTGTAATTTTCCCAAAATAATAAATATAAAGTGTAAATTACAAAAGAGTGCGACATACGTTATGGTGTAAATTGTAAATTACTTTAAATGAGGTAGCTAGAAGTATGGTCCTCATCAACCATCGCTAACATATTTGTATGTAAATAGACACGTTTCTAGTTTTTAACTTAACAAAAAGAGTCAAGGTTGTTAGTCAAAAGTGAGGAAAATGAATAATTTGACAACTTTTTATGGAAATGGAAATTATTCTTAAAAGAAGAAAAATTCAATTGGACTGGAAATAAATTAGATTATCTATTATAAATAGGTAAAGTTAAACTATATTTATTGGCTTCAGAAGGCCCTTAACCTATTATTGTTATTTTACCTTAAAACTTTAAAGCATATACACAAAAAATGTAAGAGAATTTTAAGCTTTCAGATCACCAATAAGGTATCTAAATATAGTATCTTATTATAAAAAGTTAGACGAGTAATTTTAAAAATAAAACAAATTTACCTGTTATAACATATAAAAATAATTTATTATCTCAAATATCAGATGTCGAGAAATCAATCGGATCGAAAATCGCATCCTAAAGTGACTTTGGAATAGATTTGAGAGCTTCGATCAAAAATAAATTATTATTTTTTTGCACCAATCTATATAAGTTAGACTTGTGATTTTCAAACCAGAAAATGCAATATTATTTATACAATTTAGGCAAACACTAGAAAAATGGAAGAAGCTATGAGGAGAGAGGATTGAGAGAATTAGGCAAATATGTTTCTCACATGGGCTTTTCTGTTTTTTTCCACTTATAAATAGAGCCTCTAAATCTCCCTTGTATATGCAAAAGACATATATACATAGTTTGAGAAAATGGCCACCTCTTCTCTACAATCCCCAATAGCTAAAAGGTTATTTTCTTTCTTTATTTTATATATTTACTTTAATTTGTGCTTCGAAAATGATAATAATAATAATAATCTACATTTTAACTTATTTTTATAGGCTTGAAGGTAAGGTAGCAATTATAACTGGTGGTGCTAGTGGAATAGGAGCAGCCACAGCTAAACTTTTTGTTCAACATGGTGCAAAGGTAACAATTGCAGATATTCAAAATGATCTCGGAAATTCATTAGTATATGAAATTGGCACAGAACACATAATGTTTGTACATTGCAATGTCGCGATTGAATTTGACATTCAAAACGCGGTAGATGCAACAATTGCCAAATTTGGTAAGCTTGACATAATGTTTAGTAATGCTGGTATAGCAGGTAAGCCAATTTCAAGTATCGTTGATGTAGATTACGATGTAATTAAGAATGTGTTTGATGTAAATGTTGTTGGCTCATTTTTATGCGCGAAACATGCTGCTAGAGTGATGATTTCGAATAATACAAAAGGTTCCATTATATTCACAGCAAGTATGGTGACAACAAAATATGGTGATACGCTACACACTTATGCAGCCTCAAAGAATGCTGTTTTGGGGCTATCGAAAAACATTGGAGTCGAATTAGGAAAATACGGAATAAGAGTTAATTGTATTTCTCCTTATGCAATCGGCACACCGCTAGCATTGAAGGCGTTCGGAATAGCTGTGAGAGAAATGGTAGATAAATGGTTTGCTGAAGCAGGAAATTTGAAAGGAGCTTTATTGGAAGAGCAAGATGTAGCAAATGGAGTGTTGTATTTGGCAAGTGATGATTCTAATTATGTGAGTGGTTTGAATCTAATTATTGATGGTGGTTATAGTACTACAAATGTAGCTTTAACTGAGGCCTACAACAAATTGTTCCTATCTAATGCTCAACAATAATTGAACAACAAATAGAAAGGCAAATTGAGATTTGTTTGTCTTCTTCAATAAGTGATGTTTCATTTGGGATTAATTTTGAAAATAATGTTCAAGACATTTTAATGTCAACATAGAGGTTTCACCTACATGTATTGCATGAACTTGTTGTAGAGTTGCTAATGTTGTCTGTAGACAATAAAATTCACGTTGAGAAAACAATAATCTAGAACAGAAAAGTATTGCAACAATTATCTTTATTGATTTCAAAATATGAGTGGTACAATCTCTATGATTCGTTCGTCTTTTCATATAGAATTCAAGGGCTTTTGAGTTTGATATTCTTGAATTTGTCTCTGAACTTTATCTTGGATTCAATGGGCTTTGGAGCTTGTTCTTCAATCTTTGATGAACTTGAACTTTATCTTGAGAAAACAAATAAAACACACACATTGAAAAGAGCAAATGGTGAAGCTAATTGTGATAGATTAGCGAAATTCATCTCTAATTGTTTCGTCACAAATATTTGTGATAGTCATTATTCCATCATAATTTATTTAAGACAAGCAAATATGTGATAATCGAGAATTTGTCACAAATCCGTCAAAAATTAAAATTTTTGGTAATATTGTGATGGATCTTTCGTTATAAATTTAATTATTCTTACAGAGTATCATTTACATTGAAGATGTGGTCACTGAAATGTGTATACTTCTTTTTAGACCTTTATAGGGTGAGATTTTCTGGAGATTTACTTCCATTGAATAACGCCTAAAAGAGTAGAACACACAATTTTATTTTTTTTGCTTTCTTATTTTATCCTTTGTAAATTATTGAAAGAGTTATTTTTATAAATTTATAATGAATTAAGGAGATCACGGTGAAAATTATTTTTTAAAAAAATTATAAAGTGAAAATTATAAAAGAGTGTGACATACGTTATGAAGCAAATTGCAAATTACTGTGAATGAGGTAGCTAGAAGTATGGTCCTTATCTACCATTGCTAACATAAGTGGGAATAACTAAGCACCACACCTCAACATGTGTTCCAATAAGAATCACTACTAATATCCAATATATTTATAAGTGGGCCCCACCACCTTCCACTTAAATACTACAAATTATATATTAAATACTATACTATAAATGACATAAATACTCCATATTATATATTAGAATAATTAACAATTATTTGACACTTTAAATTCTATCAATGCCATATAAATTAAGATAAAAAAGGTAACATATAATATTTATATTTATATTTATAATAATAATAAATATATATAACTTAAATACTCCATATTATATATTATTACAATAATTAACAATTAGACTCTCAAACATAAAAAGTAACATATGCTATTAAAAACTTTAATAAAAAGTACTATAATTTACAATAAATAATAACTTAAAATATCTACAAGACAACAAAAAAAAACACTAATTTTTGTACTGCTTGTGTCACATAAATTAGGATGGGGACGATTTTAAAATTTTAATTTTGGTTATACATTATAAAATAGCCGAAAAATTGAATGATATAATTTTTTTTAAAATAACCGAATGAATCGTCCTATCGATAACCCTAATGTTACTTCTACTCTGTTTATTTTTACTTAAATTTAGAAAGATATGCTTCATTTCTACCCTCAATCTTATCGCTACATTTATTTGCTACAAATGACAAATAAGTTTCTATATTAGCTCACTTATGAGCAAAATATATTATAACAATCTTTACTATTTTTATAACAATACATAAACTATACTCCCTCCGTCCCATATTAGATGGGCACTTCCAACTTTACACGGTGATTAAGAAATCATTAATACATTGGAAGAATTCACCATTTTCTCTTTCTTTATATCAATGCACA